AATTATCGAAGTTTTATTAGTAATATTTACTTTTTCGTATTTGTATTTGACAACTTATTATTTATATGTTATTAAATTAGATTACGTTAATTTGTAAAAGTTAAGATTGAACTTGGTATTTATATCTACTTTTTGTTATTAATATTAGTATCTACTTTCAGGTGTATTTATGTAGTATTATTTTAAATGTTAAAAAATTTAATTATAGTACGGAACTGAACCGAACCGAACCCGAACGGTTCCAAAATTATATTTGGAACCGACGGTTCCATTTACTAAATACCCGAAAATTTCTGAAATCGAAAAAAATCGAGCCGAACCGACCCGCGCCCACCCCTACAAATGGTTAGCTTCCTTAATTTTAGTTGCGGTACTAATATTCGCAAACTAATTTTCAATCATTTATTCTCATAATAAAATATTTTGCCGATAAATTCATAATTTTATTTTATTTTTTAACTACACATTTTCTAAAAATTCACTATTACAAAACTCATTTTCATTTCGACTGATATCAGTAGATGATATTTTGAATTCTCAACTTAGTATCTCTTTCTATTTTTTTTTCCTCGTGTCAAGAACTTGACAATATTTTTTAATGTTAGTTTGCGCTAAAACATTAGACCTCTGGCAATCGAATAAATTATACGCAATAACTATTTTGTATTCAGTGTCAATTGCAAATTTGTGCTTCAGTTTTGCTCAATCGAATAACTGTATTTTAATATGATTTCAATCGGATAACTAAACTTCAATATGATTTCAAATGGATAACTACACCTTAATTTTATTTTAATTGATGTAATTTCGTTCAATTTCACTAAAGGAAATCGTTGATGTAACATTAAGGGCCTGTCTGGTGGCCATTAAAATGGCCACCAAAATTCATTTTCTGACCGTTGATATCAATTTCAGCCGCAACAATTGACCGGCTGTGAGTGGTGCGAGCCTCACTAACGATCAGGAATGCAATTAACATTTGGCCAAAATCAATACCAGACACCTTCTAAATAATTGATAGTCATCATACATGATTGTTAGTTGCAAACGTGGAATAAGTACATTTCATTTAAAAATGATATCATCAATTGATGAATCGTGCTTCGTGTACAACCTAAATAACAATTTTATTTACAGAATATTACGTGGCATTATGTCATTGAATATTTTAAATAAAAAGTTTTTTTTGTATTCAACTATTTTGTGTCAACACACCACACCGTCTCATAAGTTGTACAAATAGTAAAATCCTTTATTGATTGTCTCGTCACTCAATCAACAATTTTCTTTAAGTACACGTAATGGAATTGAAATTGGAATTGGAATTTGACGAAGTTACTCAATTGAAATTAAATTAAACGGTAGTTATTCCAATGAAGTAAAATTAAAGTATAACTATCTGATATTAAAATAAAAATATTAGTACCACAAATAAAATCAATCATGCTACACGAAAATAGAGGATGATCGAACACACACAACTCGAGAGTTGTACATTATTTTATTCACTTGAATCCACGCACAATGTGAGGGTCAGTCACCACTTCGACCATCTATTTTCAAGCATTTCAGCATAATTCAAATAAAATTCACCCTCTGCCCTCTGGCAATGAATCAGTGACCTGTCCCTCTCATCGACGTTTCTATAGCACTTTGTTAGGTCGTAATAACACCCAACAAATTTTGCAATTCGACATACGGACAAGGTTCAGCGAGGAGAAAGGAAAAGTTGTGGTCAGAATTATGCGAGAAATGTGCTTCCAGTACGAGACGGTCCCGCCCGTCACGTTCTTGTGGAGTTGGCTCTCTTGTATTCAAGAAAATGAAAAATTGCTCAGAAAAATCTCCAATTTGAGGCACTTTTTTGGGATTAATCTCAAAATACAAGGGAACTCAAAAAGAAATTAAAAAAAAAAAAAAAAATCAGTTCCACGGAAGAGGATCTACATCTTCGGCCAAAATTCATTGAATCCTAGAAAGAAATCCCTCAATTCTCAAATACGGTAAACCTCTATATGCTGTACAGTCTACTCCGAATTTTTACTGTATTTTCTCGTTATTTATTTACACTGATCAATATTATAGGTTTCTGCCTCTACGCAATATAAGAATCAAATTTCTTGGTTAATTATTTGTATTATTTAGGTATTGGGTGCTTGTAATGTTCTTAATTTTTGTTTTGTGATATGGGTTTTGTTTAATGATTGTTGAAGTAATCTGAGATCGATGGTCTTAATTGATATACATTGAAAATCTTATGATCTTGCTAATGAGCAGCATCTGTTTTTTTTTTTTTTTAATTCCACTAAATTATGTATTTTTTTAATCTTGATTAATTTGTTGAATTGTTTTCTTTGACAATTAAATTGCTGATTTATGATTGATTTTTCAATTTTATCTGAGTTATATACATTTATTTTCGTGAGTCGGGCTTTCGATTTTCCAGAACACCGGCTTTTAGAGCAAATTTGGCTGATCTTAATAAATTACTTTCATAACATACACATTTTGTTAGCAAAACATGCTTTTGTTAATTGTTTTCTTCTAGTTGTCCTGGTTTATGTGCATTTATTTTCGAAGTTGGGGTTTGGATTTTCCAGATGACTGGTTTTTAGAGCATGTTTGGTTACGTAAACTGTTTACTTTCAAAAAAAGTGAATTTTTGTAATAAAAAGTAGAAAAAAGTAGCTTTCCAAACATGTTTGGAAACAAGAAGTTCAATAGGAAAAAGTTTTACTTATTTCTAAGCTTAGCCAAGCATTTTCCAAAGACTAGGAATCTTGTAGTGTAGAATGGGGAGGCTTGTTACCGTTAATATTGTTTTCATTGTGTTAGGTGGAGGGAAGAGAGAGGTTTAGAGTAGATGGAGTGCAATAGAGACGAGGCTGCAAGAGCAAAAGAAATTGCTGAGAGGAAATTTCTGGCTAAGGATATTAAGGGGGCTAAAAAATTTGCTCTCAAGGCTCAGAATTTATATCCAGAGCTAGAGGGTATTTCCCGAATGGTTACAACCCTCGATGTTTATATTTCTGCGGAGGAGAAAATAAATGGTGAAGGGAATTGGTATGGGATTCTTGGTGTGAACCCTCTAGCTGAAGATGAGAAAATACGGAAAAAGTATAGAAAACTGGCTCTTCTGCTTCATCCCGATAAGAACAACTCTCTTGGGGCTGATGGGGCATTTAAGCTAGTGTCGGAAGCCTGGAGTTTGCTCTCAGATAAATACAAGAGATTAGCATATGACCAGAGGTCCGGTACGAAATTCCAGCCAGGAAATCGGGCGAAAAATGGGTGTACATCCACACCATCCAAGGACAATGGATTTTACAAGTTTGTGAAAACTGCAGCTTCAAGAATGAGGGTTTCAAAAGGTAATTTTGTGAAGAAGGATGCCTCCTCATCTGTTCATTCACCACCTAGTAAGAATGAAACCAAGCAACCATCATTTGGGTTCAATATTAAGAACTCGTCCAATCACAGCAACTCCCGGTGGACTCCTTTCTCTGAGACAACTAGTGCTGCTACAGCTGTTCAAGCAGCACATATGGTTCAGCACGCGTATGAAAGAGTAAGAAAAGAACGTGAGAAAGCACAGGCTGCCACGAGAAGAGAAGAGGCAAGGAGAAGGAAAAATCATTCCTCCAAAACAAGAATTGAAGCTGAATCTGGGCACTCCAATTCAGTGAAAAGAAGAAAAGGAGTCGAATATTGTGGTACAAGCAAGTACAAAATGGATCCAGTGAGTGGAAAAGGCAAGAGAGAAAGTACCTAAGAAATTCAATGAAGGAACTTAGCTACTGTGGTGAAAACTGCAGATAGAAGAGAAGCTAAAATATATACCAAAAAAATGAAATAAAATAAAAAAGACGGTCTTAGCCAGGTTTTTCCGATTTTGAGAAAGATTGAATCGAAAATTGTTTCATTTATCGAGTGTGACTGCCTACTATGATAATGAGATGCCTCTGCGTTATGTCAAATGATTTCCAGATCACGTGGCATAATTCAAAAGTCGACAGCTTCTTGAGCCCACTAAAATGGTATTGTTCTATTATTTCACAAACATGCCAGTATGTTAGAATGGGTAGGAACGAAATGTGCACTCACTCAACTCTCTCTCATACAAAGTCAGACGTATGAATGGCACTCGTGAAGCCATTCGGGATATTTCCTCAGAAGGGAGACGTCTGGGCATTGTGCCAGAACTGGTCCTTTGAAGGAATGAACTCACAGACGGTGAAGTAACGCACAAGTATGAAATAGTACTAATACTTGAGGGGTGATTGTCAATCCATTCTTTAAGGTTGCTGGCTTCAGAATGGCTTTTTACCAGCATTTGAATCTGAGGGAAACTAAGAATGGCCGGGCAAAAAAAAGACTTTGTTTTCTCACAGGTCCTACCCATTTGATTTATATTTGCACTTAAAAAAGTATGAGATAGAAGGATTAGCTTTATTATTTATCCAGATTGTCATATGACTGGCTGCAGTTATTTTTCTAAGAATACTGAACTCAGTTTGAAGAATTTAGTTATAAATGGTTTCAATATACAATCAATGAGTCGGCAAAGATCCACAACATACATTTCAAAAAGTGTTTTTTTAATCAATGGTGTGATCCCCACACCTCATTAGCTGTTAAAACTTGGTTGTACAACTAGAATAATGATGTGGACCTTTTAAATTCCCAGTGGAATAGACATTCATTTTTATTTCTTCCTTTCAATGTAAAAGCATTTTTTCTCTCATTACTACCGTCACTTTCTGTTCTCTACCGGAAATGGCTGCAAATTCTCATCTCATTCTCCTTTTGCATAAATTCTTAATGATAATGGTTTCCTACATAAATAATGGTTGTTCCAATCCTATGCTTCACTGTCATAGATCACGATTACCAGCTTTCTTCAACTGTTTGTTGTTGATGGGCATGCTTTCAGTGACGGCTCCCGCTGAAAAATGGCTGGGTTTTCTCTAAAATAGTGTGGGTTCAAGCAATCTTTGGGGAAAATTACACTCCCTCTAATTACTCCGACCGTCTCCCCACCTCCATCATTCTCCTCATCAGCTCAATTTAAGGGCTTATTGGTTACAGTGTACAATGGCTCGTCGTTAGCCGCCGCATCTAACCCTTTAGTATTTTGGTGTAATTGCTATCGCATTCTATTGACATTTGACGTTACCGGGGCTCATAGCCGCCTATTTTCCCAATTTTTTTTGTTGCAGTGCTTTTGGTTCTTTTAGCTTTACTCACGTTAAAGGATTTCATTAGGCACTTTTCTGATTCTAAAACCATGGATATCGAACGCAATGTAACTGAACCATTGCTAGCAAAAGATATAAAAGAACCTGTGGTGGAGGTGGAGAAAAATCTGGGAATATAAATGATTACAGGTACAATATGATCAAGTCTACACAATCAATTTGGCTTCTGCCAACACAGAAACATGTCCTATTTAAAATTCGAAACAATATAGAGCTCACCATTTCACTTCATGAAAACAAAAAACAAAGTCTCAATAACATCCAATGGTTTTTAAGAAAAGCCTACGAACTAATTTCCCGGCATCTGCATCGCTTGTCCTGTCATTTGCAAAATTAAAAATCTATTAGTGTAAGTTGAATATAAAAATTGCTCAATCCCATATATATGAAAGGTCTATACAATAGTCATAAAAAAAGGTTCTTTTACCTGATTCAAAATTACAAGGAAGTGCCATCTTCATTCAGCATAAATGGATTATAGCAATGTATGGCATGACCTAAGGTAAAAATATTATCAAAGGCATGTGAAATACTATTGTGATAGTACTCAAATGAGTTTTTTCTTGCCTTGAGCATTGAATATAGAAACTCATAAAACTGGAGGCCTTAAAGTGTAAGGTGGTAAGTGTTGAAAGTTAGGTGCGTGTTGCTGGAAGCTTGCCATTTCATTAACACGAAAATTATAAGTTGTATATGCTTCTTTTTCCTGCTCATGAGCCTATAAAGTGAAATAAACTTTAAAAAAATTATCATCATAAATAACATAAAATTGGAGACTATCAACATTATATAAAAATTACTCGGATACTTGGATTTTCCCGTTCGGCAACCCTAATTGGCGTGCATATATCTTGTTCAATTGCTTGAGACTGAAAGTAAATTATTATGATAAATTAAGCACGTTTAAGTAATTATCATTTTTAAGTAAAATTGAAAGATAATATGTAATCATGTACCTCAATGTTTTCTCTCTTTTTCTTGGATATGTCTTCACATTTTTTCTTCTTCTTAGTAACAAACTTCTCTATATTTGAGACCTTTCTATTCTTGGGTGGACGTCCATGTCTTTGAGCAGCTATAGAACTACGAAGTCCATTGTCCTCATCAGAAGCTTTGCAAAAGTCACTAACATTCAAAGTTGATACATTTCTATTTATTTTTTATTGAAATTCATCCATCATGTTCATTAATAGTGAACAATTCTCATGAGAAGCAACAGCCAAGTCAGCAACATCATCTAATTTCTTCTGCAACTTACGATAACGTTGAGCCTCCTGGTCTCATTTCCAATCGTCATATGTAACTTTCACCCTGTTGTGAGACCTTTTGAAATCCTCCATCCAACGTGTTAAGATACACTTTTTTGGGAATTTTCTAAATATTTAGTTTAAAAAGAATTGATAAAGCATGCTTGCATAAAAAATTTCTCTAAATTCAAACAATCGGCAAGCACATTTTAACTCATTGCCCCACTCATCACAACACTGAAATGAAGTTTTTTATGTTCATCTTCAACCAATATATCTTCAACCACATCAAATAATCCATTTTCCACATCAACACAAGAGGCTTCACAATACAATTTTCCAGTCAACTCCTTTTGAAATTCTTTACACTTTGAATTAGTATATACATCTTGAAATTGCTTTCCTAGATCGAAATGTGTTGCACATGATGTAGTAAAAGACTGAAAATCATCACGATTTTCCTTTTCAACCTTACTTCTTAAAGCATTGTCATATTGCTCGACAAATTGCTTCTATGTTGTATTTAAGTCTATATAGTGATCGAAAAATGCATCCATACTCTCACTTCGTTGTATAGTTGACAAACTAGCCTAAAATGTGTCCTTTATAAATGTAGGACCCAAAGATGCCTTTCTTTATACATGTTGGGTTTTTTATACCCAATAAATCCGGACGATAATTTAAAACAGATGTTGGATAATTTATCGACACAATAGTCTTGGCTCGACTTGGAAATGAGCAACACTTTTCGAGGGCCCATGTTTGAGTTGAATTTAATTGGCTGGAGGTAATATGTGTGTGTGTGTGTGTGTGTGTGTTAGCCCATTTACCTTGTTATTAAGTTAGTCTATTTAAGTGAGTTTTGGCTCCATTTCCATATAACCTAAGATTGAAGCAATATATGCAACCTACTCCCAGTCGATTTTCTCCTTTTGTGTGTGTATATAGTGTAGAAATGGAGAGTAGAGTAAAAATGAGAGAGAGTGCTGCCGATTTAGATCGAAATTGGGAGACATTTCCATCATTGTTGCTTCTTCTTCTTCTTACTCTTGCTAATACCACCACCATCATTCTCCTTTGTGGAGGTTGAGAGGGCTTGTTGCAACCAAAGTGTTTGGAAGTTTTTGGTCGAGCATGTTTCAATGGTGTTCGTTTAGTTAGTTTTTCTGAGCTCGAAATCAAGTTTTCTCGAAGATTTCTGCAACAAATAGTATTAGAGCACACGGTGATGAGAATTTGTGATTTTATGGGGACAAAAACCGCTAGAATCGACTTGAAATCAAAGCTAGAAAACTGGACGAGAAATTGCCCAATTTTGCAAAATATGTCTGAATCTGAAAAGTTGACTTCGTGCCAAACTGCTCATCCAGTGGGCGAAATGGGGTCATATTCGTGATCAACAGGCGGAAGAAAAGTGTCCATCAAGCGTGTGTCAACGCATGGGCATTCGGCGTGGCAGCACGTAAGGACCACGTGCGAAGACAGTAGACGCACGGCAGTGCATCGACCAGAATCTAGAGATGATTTCTTCAAATAGTATGTTTCTGGTGGCGTGACGAACCCTACGATGTTGTTCGTTTTCAGTTTCGAGGCGATACGATGAAATTGGACAATTTTGCCCTTACATGTTAGGGTGTCGGGTGCCGTTTCGCATTATCGCAATTGCTAGAAGCTTTAGAATAAATAGCGGTAGCTCTAAATTGGTAAATTCGCATCTATCCTAATATACAAACCCATAGATATAATTTGTTTGGTATCGTGTTATTTACCTTTTATTATTGTAGTTATGACTATTGTGTAAGATAGTTAATTACTTTTTACATTAAAAGTCATTATGTAGGGTGTCATTAGGATTATGTTACCGTGAAGAGGTAACCATTGCCTATTGCTAGATCTAGAAATTACTTGTTAATTATTTGTCTTGAATTCTGTGAGAATTTGTTGTCAATTATTTATTCACTATTAGAATCTAATGTAACCTTAGCAAATTTTTGTTTGACTATTCTGCGTGAATTGTGTCTGTACTTTTTTTGTGATCGTTGTTGGTTACATTTTTGTGTTTTGTGCAGTTTTTGGTAAAATGACAATACATTTTAAGTTGTATTTTTTCAAATGGAAAAATATGATTTTTCAATTTGACAAAATGAAAAAAAATTATAAAACTTTTGATGCCAAATATGGGTTTAAGGCAAGTACAAAAAGTAAAATGTGTGTTTTTTTAACTAGGTAAATTTCGACATAGTGATATAGATTGTCCTATAAATGAT